AGCATGCTCTCGCCTCTTCGCAATTCCGTCCGTTTCAGCTCTCAGGAAACCCTACTCTTGAAAAAGGGATTTTCATTTGACAAAATGGAATTAATTCTCCAATGTAATTACCCTGAAACAGAGAGGAAATATTTTTCTCGGCATGGTACCGGTACCGTCGTGGGTTATCACGCGCTACATTGTTGCTGGTTCGGTTTGCCTACTCGCTCCGTCGTCGGCTAAGAATCTTCCAGAAAAGTACGTTCGTTATGTGACCCCGCTGACAAGTTCAATTGACTGCGTGAAATGTTTAGGGGCAAAAAATGTCATTGGGGAATGGGGAAAGTGGTTGGGTGGGACGGATTGGGCGAAACGTACTGGACCGTCGAAGCACGCACTCATAGCGCCTGATAGGTAGGTAACATGTTGCCTGAAGTGCTTGCGTGTGCTGTAGGGTGGCCTACCCCGAGTCTTGCAGGCGCCGAGCTCCCGTAAAATTAACTTGAGAGAATCTGAGAGAAACAGACATACTTTGTGGTCGACCCCTTCATGTGCCATGGCCCGTGCTGGCAGATCGAGTATGCTGTCCCGCAACGCAGCCAGCGCACGAACAGAAACACATATGGTACACCGCCGAAAAGACCTCCGGCCTCCGGCTCCGCCGGACCGATCGCATGGGCGGTGGGCGGGGCGGGGCCGCGTGCATGGAGGCTGCAACCACCTCCTCTGTAGCCTGTCCGCTGCAGCATGGGGTGTTACATAAGGAAGCTGAGCCGAGAGCAACTGGAGCAACTGGAATAAATTACGGACGCCGACTGTGTGCGAGAGAGCGAGAGTGTGCTCCCAGAATGAGGGACCGTGGAGAGTGGTGTGTGTGTGGGACAGACAGAGAGGGAGAGCCGGGTGGAACGAGCGAGGCGTGGCGGTAAGCGCTGAGGATGATACCCCTACGAGACCACATGGCAGCAGGCCCGACTGGGCCCGACCTACACCATGGCGGCCTCATGGAGGGCTGATCGTCAACACAAAAGCGATCGTCAATACCGCATCACGGAGACTTTCTATCTTGGAAGGCGTGGTGGAGGGGAACTTGTTGAAAACGACAACACCACCTTGATCCACCGGGTAGTTTTTATTCATTTTTGGCCATTTAGACCTCGCTTTCGAGCTTAGTGTCAGCATCTTTTGGAAACGATGACAGCCTCCGCAGGTGACTGCTTTTCTAGCCGAGCACGAGCACATCGACGAATCGTTCGGACGGTCGCTGAGGACGAGTCAGCTCAGCTGGCGGCCTGCTGGTCGGGCAGGCGAGGGAGCAGGGCGTGGGGTGGAGTTGGAGCAGAGGCAGAAGGGAGGGCGGAGAGGGATATTGTCCCCGCGAGCACAGCCGAGCGCAGCCTGCGCAGCCTCTCTCTCTCTCTCTCATCCTATCTCTCTCGTTGTCTCTCTCCCTCCCCCTTGTATAAAAGCACCGCAGGGCTGCGCCTAGCCCACAGTCCTTGGAGTCCTCTAGTCGCCCTAACACGACCCATGGCGCGCCTTAGGGTGAGTAGCGCGCCAGCGGCGACAGTCTGCGGAACGACGTAGAGTCAAATATGTCTTTTTGTGAGAAAAGGGGGATGTTATTCGGATTTTGGGTTGCCTTTGGAGATGAAGGTTTTAACTGTGTCGCCAAAAAAACTGTTGTCTTTGCTAGATTTTTTTTTTGAATCATCATCCGCTCTGTCCGAAACTGTTCAGACTGTCCAAACTATCAACCTCTTCCAAGGTGCAAAACAAAATATCAAATTTGTAAGACATTAACTTCTATTAAAGTACATGTAATTGTCAGTTTTTGTTCAAAGAGTTCAGTTGCTCATAGCGCGTTGCCTGCTGTGCTTTTTTTTTCTTTTTTTCTATTTATGTATGCGCATGATGACGCATTATTAAGTTATTACTTATCTGGGGAATTAGGATAGCTAACCTCCCGTGGTTTTCCTGCATAATTAGCGTGTATCGGCGTGTATGCACGGCACATAAACGTCTCTGTGTTGTGCTGTCTGCGAGCGCTTTCGTGTGTCTATGTATGCGTGTGTGTGTGTGTGTGTGTGTGTCTGTGTAGTGTGTGTCTGTGAGCGTGTGTGGTGAAATGAAGCGAGAGTGCAAGTGGGCAACACCCGAGGTGCAAGCTGCAAGAACAGTGCAAAAGACCAACAGATAAAGGTCTGCGCGAGGAGCGACGCCGTGAGCGACGACGTCTTCGGAGAGGACAGACGAAGGCGGAGGGAGAGAGTGACACAAAGTCAGAGACATAGGACGACGACATGTGTGACCGACGGGGTGGGGCACCCCGAGAAGAAGTGCCTGACATACGTCACGAGGAACGCGCGCATCCTTCGCGCCAGAGGAGCGCGCCAAAGCGGCGGTAAAAAGAAACTGTCGCCGCGGGAGAGCCGGGCCGCGACGCGACGCGGCCGCCATTGATCTTGGCCTACCTCACCGGGCCGGGCGGTGGGCCGGGCAGCGTGATGACCTACCTCAACCCGGGCTACTCCCGGGCCGCGCCACGCGCCGCCACGCCGCGCGGCGACACCCCTCCCCCCCTTCTCACGGTACCACCCGCGACCACCTGGCTCCATATCAGACGACCGACAGCGTGCGAGACGGAGGCCATCCGAGGATGACTGATTTGACTTAGATGGCTACAAATATTTCTTTGTTTTCTCTATTCCAAAATCTCAGAGGGAAATCAAAAGTGATGGCGATTGTCTCGTGCGTTTCCTTTGTTGGGTTCGAGATTTCATCGTCATATGTGCAGTCCTCTATATTGTTGAATCCAAATAAGCTTTCCATTTCTAAACTCCCATTCTCCGTGCAGTACGCCCGTGAATAGACGCAGTGCTCTCTTGGTGTAACCATAAAACCACTATCGGTCGACAAAGCGAGTATAAACAGAACCTAATACACTGCCTATGTGACCTCGGACCTTTTTTTTGCTGTTGTTGTGAGTGGACTACTAGAGGGGCTCAGCAAACGACTGGAAATAAACCGTGCGCTTTTTCCTCTCTGGGGTGTCAGACCGGCTCCGTTCAAGGTGGGACCCGGCCGCACAGGTGTCACCCCTGCCACGCCCAAGACGCGAACGCCGATTGGACGGTACACTGGACGTCGCTGAAAGCCCCTGAAAGCCACTGGACGTCGCTGAAAGCCCCTGAAAGCCACTGGACGCCGCTGGACCGCGCTGGACGCCGCTGGAAACCACTGGAAGCTGGTAGAAGTCGCTGGAAGCCGCTGGACGTCGCTGGACAGTGTTGGAATCCGATGGACGCCGCTGGACACCACTGGACGCCACTGGAAGCCGCCATAGACGCTGGCCGGGGCGCATTTCGGTTCTCGAAAGCCTCGCTGGAAAGCTTTTGCAGAGTCCCGGCGGAGCGCGGGCTGGCGCTGCGCTGTGATGCAACTGCTCGCCACGCCACGCACTCAGAGGGCAGCACCGTCGCAGGCCTTGTCACGTGGGAGCTGCAGTCCTTACAGTCTCTCTC